GTAATTATATAATGCTTACTAACATAGTTTATAACGTGCATACTTCTTTGTGTTTACTGTTTGCCTCTCTTCCAGAATGTAAGCTCCACAAGAGCAGATATATCTTTTGTAGTTTTTTTTTTCTACAGTGCTGTCCTTCTAGTGCCTAGAAGAGTACCTAACACATAAAAGATGCTCTGTAAATATTTATTGAATGTTCAATGAATTTTTCTAAACAGAAATATATAGTTTAAAAATTGATGATCCTATCAGGTTTAAGCTTTTCTGGTTCACTATCACCTGATAGAGAAGATTAATCAAAATCCTTGGGACCAAAGTATTTCAAGGTACATTTGATGGAAAAATAATTTCATAGAATATTCTTGCCAAATAAGCTTATGATACATAGCCGACCATACCTCCCTCTTGGAGAGTCTATTCCACTGTAAAACAATCTTTGTAACACTAATCCAGCACTTCCCAAACTTACTTAACAAATCTCTTTTTTCATGAAATGACTATTAGAATTGCATGGAATTAATGCTCTAGGCTGGTGATGTGAAAATAATAATATTTAAAATGGAGTTTAGCCCAGGAATGTAAGATTGGTTCAACATTTGAAAAGCAATCATTGTAATATACCATATTAATTGCATAAAAGATAAAAATACATGATTGTCTCAATAATTTCAAATAAAACATTTTACAAAATCCAAAATCCTTTTATGATTTAAAAAAAAAAAAAACACTGAATAAATGAACATATTAAGGGATTTCCTTAACCTGGTAAAGGACATCTACCAAAAAACCCCTACAGCTTGCATTATAATGGTGAAAGAGTGAAAGCTTTCCCCCTATAATCAGTAACAAAAGAATTTCAACTCTCACCACTTCTATACCTTGCCAGGGAAACTAGGCAAGAAAAAGAAATAGAAGTATCCAGATCAGAAAGCAGGAAATAAAATAATGTGTATTTGCAGGTTGCATAATTTATATACATAAAACACTAACAAATTCACACTCATACACGCACATATTACAGCTAATGAGTTCAGCACAGCTGCAGAACACACTACCAATATACAAAAATCAGTTGTAATGCTATAGACTAGCAATAAACAAACTAGAAATAAATGTAAGGAAACAATTCCATCGATAACAGCTTTATAAAGACTAAAATACTTAGGAATAAATCTAACAAAAGAAGTGCAACATGAGTACACTGAAAACTACAAAATTTCATTAAATCAATAAAGGCCTAAATAGAAAGACATTTTATGTTCCTGGATTGAAGGACTGAATGTGGTTAAGATGGCAATGCTCCCAAGATTGACCAAAAGATTCACTGCAATCACTATCAAAATACCTGTTGACATTTTTTTTTTTTTTGCAGATATTGACAAGCTAATCTTTAAATTCAAAAGATCCAAAATAGTAAAGCCAAACTTGAAATACAACAAAACTAGAAAACTCACACTTCCTGATTTCAAAACTTGCTACAAAACTACATTAATCAAGACAGTGTAAACAGGCAAAAGGATAGACAGGTAAAGGAAGAGAACTGAGAATTTTCTCAGCAGATTAATAGTAGAGATTCAAACCCAGACTGGACCAAAAAAATTCCATGCTTTCCCCACTACCATGTAAGTCTTTTTTGGTTACCACTGTTCTCTATATTCTACACAACACGTAACCTGGGGCCATGTACCAATTGATGAATGAATGAGCAGCGCTTCTGGTGATAATGTCTAATCCTATAAGGCACTAAATGGTACATAAAGAAGGACAATTTTATTTTAAGTACAACCCAACAGTTACCCTGCAGCTAAAGAAAGAAATTAAAAGCTATCATTATCTATGTGCTGAATAAAAAACACAGATGGAGTTTCTATACTCTAACACCCTTCATCTTTTGGTAAAAATATGAGAATTGAAAAACTATCAGTCAGAAATATAGATACTATCAATCTTAAGACCAAAACCAAAATTAGATTAGCCAGGAGATATCACCTTATATTCTCACTTTGTCTGCTAGCATATCATGTTCAATGGGGTTAAGATAAGTATTTGCTAAATGGGAAAAATAGTTTACATATATATATTCATCACACACACAGTTATACACTCCCCTGGGAAGTCTGAAGAGCACTGTAACTTTGAACGTCCTTGGAAAATTTCTGTCTTGGAACCAGACAGTCCAGGAGAGTTTAACATCATCAGTAATTAATGTGCAAGATGACGAACGTACCTCCTCTGACTCAGAAAATGAAATGTTTCCACAATCAAGCCTGAAGTTAGCAGTGTTGAAGTACTAAATGGCTTTCTAACAAATTTAGACTTGACAGTTACTTTGTCTTTCTCTTGTCTTAGCAGATTCATGCTTAAAAAGGCCACATATTCTCCGGCTACTCAGGGAATACAGGCCAACCTACCCATCTGCCAGGCAGCAATTCAGGGTGGGTGTCCTGCATATCCAGCTGTAGGGTTACATTCATGTAATTATATACATGGGTATGTAATAAAGATAGAGGAAGGGTGTCAGGAGGAGATTGTGGGTGAATGTTAGGCCAAACTTCTCAACTCCTTATTAGTCTCCTTTTATAGACTTGAGGGCTAACCACATGCAGTGGCACACTTCGATAAAAGTGAATCATAGAAATGGAAATAAATGCATTATCTGGCACACATTTTTGGCTAATTTCTTTAGACAATGTGGCTCAATTCTCTAGAATATAAACAGTTGTCTTTTGTAAGGCAGTAATGTCTAATAGGTATTTGCAAAGAATTTCTATTTTATCTAATATTATGATATAAATTATATCATTTCCAGGTAAAACAAATAGCATTTGAATATTGGTATTTCAATGTCACTGACTGTAAAATCAACAAGAAAAATGTGCTTCATTTTCTGGAGCCTAAATTTTTCCACTTACAAAAACAGCAATAATAAATGTGTTTTCTCTATTTCTTGTGTTAGTGAGAAAACTATTGCACATATCATGTAAAATATTACTTTGATATGAATTTAGGCTTGAGCAATGTGGGCCTCAGCTAAAAGAGCAGGACCTTATAGGGTACCTTCTTGAGAGCCAAACTTCAAAAGCTAATCTGCCTTTCTACCCTTGTTTCTCCTCTGGTCTTGTTTTATTCAGGTCTTTTAACTTTTTATATTACATATATATTTGTAAGATACCTACCCAAAGTCACTTTGGAATAAAGGGTGGGTATAAATAATCAAATGTTATTGAAATAATATCATCATTAATTGGGTTGTCTTGAGCAATGCTGGGTGATTATGGGGATGAGGAAACAAGGGAACAAGGGAAAATCCTAGTTCACTGCTTAGGAGCACCAACTTGTTAACCACTTAAAATGCATAAATCACAAATAATAAGGCTCTTCTTAACATATGGGAGACATTTTTTAATTAAAAAATGCTGGAAATGAGAATTAAGTATTTATTAATAGCCTATAAACTACATGCTATGTGCCAGACACTATTCTAGCTGCTTTATATGCATCAGTTCAAGTAATCCTTTTAGCAGTTCTCTGTTCCGTTCTATTACTATCACCATTCTCATTGTACAAACAAGGAATTGAGGATCAGAATGGTTAACTACCTTGCCTAGAGTCACACTGGTACAAAGTGGCAGCCAAGGTTTGAAGCCAAACAGGCTGGCTATGGGGTCTCTTATGCTATTCCGCAGCATTACTTCTCCAAACAGCAGAAGACAGCTGTGTACACAGCTCTCTGATTCTCAACTCTGAAGGCTCAGTGGTATCATCTTGGGGAAGTGTGGGAGGTGGTTAAAAACACTTCTGAGCCTAGGCCCAACTCAGACATTATTGTCTATATTTTTTAAAAGCCTCCCAAGTGATTCTGTTCTTGCACCCTGGGTTAAGAACCACTGAAATAAATGAACCATTGATTTCTGTTCATAAACTAAAGAGCAGCATTGACCTTAAAGGAATAGTCCATATTCTGAGCATGCTCTTCAAAATCTTTGGAATATAAAAATGATTAACATAAAGGCAGTGTCATAGTAATAAAATGACCAAGAGAATAATAAATCATGACCCAAAGAAACAAGCCGTGTACAGGCCCCACACTGGCACTCTGCTGAGTAGAAAAAGACACCATTTGCAAGAGTATGAAGTTATCACCTATATTCAAGAGAACATAGAAATAGCTCAGAGGTGAATGCAGACAGATCAAGCCATACCTCTTTTACATCGTTCCATTAGTAGAAATGGAGATAAATACACTGTAAGACAGCTACCCATCCAGCTAAAGTACTGCTGCATTTTCTGTTTTTACTACATGAAAAAAGAATGTCCTTTTTAGGTTTTTTTGTTTTTTGTTTTCTTTGAGTTGGAGTTTCACTCTTGTCGCCAAGGCTGGAGTGTAGCAGTGGTGTGATCTCAGCTCACTGCAACTTCCGCCTCCCAGGTTCAAGGGATTCTCCTACCTCAGCCTCCCGAGTAGTTGGGATTACAGGCATGCCACCATGCCTGGCTAATTTTTGAATTTTTAGTAGAGATGGTGTTTCACCATGTTGGCCAGGCTGGTCTTGAACTCCTGACTTCAGGTGATCCACCTGCCTTGGCCTCCCAAACTGCTGGGATTACAGGTGTGAGCCACCCTGCCCAGACAAGGATATCCTTTTAAAACTACTTTTTGCAGTCAAAATTATGCAAAATATCTTTAATGACTTTAATTTGTGATAGATGATGGCAGAGATTGAAGGTACTGAATTCATGTACTCTGTACTCAAAAACCAGACTTTATCTGTAGGAAAGAGTAAGGCAGTAAAGGAGCAAGAAAAAGACTGAGTAAAAGAGAAAGAAGCTGAACAAAGTATTAGCAAGTAATAAACCAACGTGTGTTTCCCCTAGGGTTGTCGATTCCACATAGAGACATATGACAATGTGCCTTCCATTGTCAATCTTCCCAATTATTTTAGTTCCTGGAGTTTTCCAAATGCACAAAGAGTTTAACAAATTTGAAATATGTAACTTACTCATTGAACTCTTTATGGCATAGTTCATTCCACACTTCTAGATGCAAATGTGTTAGGTGCCAAATTCCTGGAAAAAAAGAGTTATCCTTTTCTCAATAGCTGTTTACGTGCATCAAATTCTTTGTGGCATGATGGCCATATAAAGAACTAAATTAAAAGTATATGTCCTTAAAGCCTGCCCCTGTTTCTTCTTGCCGTAACATCAAACCAATTTGCTTAATGAGGTGACTTAAGAAAAGAGTAATTCCTTATATTTCATTATAGATTCTTAACTTTAGGGAGTAAGTTGCTATTTGTGTCCAGAAACTCATTCTTTCTCCTAATTTTATCATGACTACCATGTGGTAAAAAGCCCTCACCCTTACGTAGCATTTTTCTTCCTTTCTCTTTGGGCTTTGCAGTTTTATAATTCAGAACTATGAACTAGCTCCTTGAGACCTGAGAGAAATAACTCCATAAAATTTGAATAAGCAACAGCGACAACATTCTGTAGAATTTTCCAAGAACCTTCATTTGTAAAGTATTGTACTAAGTTGTTTGATGTTAAGGGAGAATTCTACCAAACAATAAGAAAAGTGATAACCAAAAAAAAGTAATCATGATAATTTAGGCAGATACTAGGTTAGCAATTTCCCTGATAAGATACAAATGGTTGAAAGGCAGGCTAAACAAATTAATACTCTAGGTATAATTACAGAGCAAACTACTTAAAATGAATATTTTCTGGCATTTTGAAAGCATCTGCCCATTGACAAGTCGTTCTTTCAGACATAAGCCACGAGGGCTCATCTTTCTCCTTGAACTACACTCTGTAGTGTCTGATTTGGCCAGGCAGGCCCCATCGCCTTCACAGGGTTGGCAGGGCAATTATATGTGGAGTCAGCTTTGCACATCTAGCTCTGCTTATGGTGACTCCAAGGGCTTGCTTTGGAGGCTTGGTTACAGCACACTGCCACTTTAACTTCCAGCCCAGCTGCTTTTTTAAATCTGGCTTTATCCACCATTAACACAGTGGTCATTTCTTCAGCATTTGTGACTACTTCATACTGCACAGAACTTAGAGAAGAGAAGGGGTGATTCATTGACTCCTAACTTTCAAAGGCCACATCAGGCACGTTGTTTCGCTTCCCTAAATTTTTCAGATATAAAATGAGGAGATTGATCTCTGATGAAGTCCCCCCACAGCTATTTCATTTACAACTTTTTCAGGTAATACATTTTTTAAAAGCCAGGTTCAACTGGTTATAATCAAAAGTAGCCCGGTGCATTTCCTTAAAAACACTATAATTGTGTCCAGGTCTTCAACAGAAGTTTGTCCAAATTTGTAACACTTTACATATAGAGATTAAAAATATGAAATAAATCCTCATCTATTTCTCTGCATTCCTTTGAGATAGTAAGTCAAGTATTTTCATTCCTATCAAAGAAATTCTACAGACTTTACTATGTTTTTATCCCATTTGAGATATAAGTTTCTTCTGGAAAATTCAAAAGACAAAACAATGGTATGAAAAGATATATGGATCCAACATGCATTCATGAAATAAATATTCCACAGCCCATTATCTTCAAAGCCAGATTGCTATATCAAATATCTAGATGGCAAATGGTTGCAATGACATATTTTGCCTAAAAAGGTAAAGAATGGAAAAGAGAACAGAGGAGAGTTCATCTTTTGAACATCTAGATATGCTAAGTATTATGTTAGAGACATTTATATATCTATTTAATATAAATTATTGCAAAGGTTTTGTAATGTAGTTATTTTTATTCCCATTTTTATAGGGAAGTCAACTGAAGTTCAAAGAGATTGAATCCCTTGTTCCAGAATACACTGTTAGTAAGACCTGAGTTTGAATACTTATCTGACCACCCCAGAACCCAAGTCTTTTCCAAATGATTCCCGACATGCTGCCATGGGCTACCCTGGGTGGTGGTAATAGAAAGTGTGTGATGCTATCCACAACACACTGTGATGACAGAGTGGTTTTTCCCTGCTGACAGGATAAGCTTCTTTTAAACTCCCATCATCCGGACTGCTTTTCAAGGGCGTATGTTCAGACCTAAGCCTCACATCCTCAGCAAGTTAGTGTCCCATCATTCTTAGGGGACCTTTGTTTCCTTAAATGTTAGATGGAATGAGGTCACACATCAGGCCCAGGGTGACTGGTCTTTGTTTAATGTCTGATAATGCATTTGTCTTAAGGTCAAGTGGGATTATTTCCAGAACTCTGCTGAAACATAAAAGGCAAAAGGAAAAGTGACAAAAAGCAGGGTCAGGTTAGAGCTCCAAAAAGAATTCAGAATGGATTTCATGTAGAAAATGCAAACGCTAGGGACAAAAAAAAAAAAATAGAAATGTATTTTACGAGTGTCATAAAAATGTGTTTAAAAAACAGATTTCAGTTATGCAAGGCAAAGGAATGACATAAAGAAAATTCTTGCTTCTTTTCTATAGAGGGAGAAAACCCAGTAACAGATGGCATTGAAACAGAGATTTTTAAATAATTTTACTCCTTCATATATTGTATTTTTATTGAAAAAAATAACATACATATAGGAAAGTATATGTGTTATGTCTGCACATATGTAAGTATACAAGTCAGTGAATTTTCACAAAGTGAACACACCTCGGTAACCACCACCCAGATAAAGAAATAGCACATTTCCCGTATCTTAGAAATCTGCCTCATGCCCTGTCAGTCGCTCTCCACTCCTCTCCAAAGTGCCCATTCAGGCTTCTAAAACTAGAGATCAGCTTTGCATGTTTCTGATTCTCATATAAACAGAATCAGACAATGTGTGCTTTATATCTAACTTCTTTTGCTGCACATTATATTTATAAAATTTACCCATATTGTTGCAGTAGTGGTTGTTTAATTCATGTTCATTGCTGAATGGTATGTCCTTCAATGAATAAAACACAATTTATTTATTCATTCTGTTTATAGACGTTTGGATTGTCCCAGTTTTTACTATGATGAGTGTTTAAGAGTATGCATATTCATGTACATGACTCTGTTGCTCATGCATCTGTTACATATACAGCTAGGAGTAAAACTGCTGAGTCAGTGTGCATTTGTTCAGTTTTAATATTTATTGTCAAAGAGTTTTCCAAAGTTGCTATCCCAACTGTTACTTCTATTATCAATGTAGGACAATTCTTGGTGCTCCACACCATAGCCTGAGTTTGGGGTTGTCAATCTTTTACATGTTAGCCATTCTGGAGGGTGTGAGATGACATCTTATTGTGAATTCAATTTGTATTTCCCTGATAACAAATGAGGTTGAGAACATTTTCATACACCTCCTGACAATATGAATTTTTTTTGTGTGAAGTGTCCGTTCAAGACTTTTGCAACATCTTCTATTATGTTTTCTATCTTTTTCTTACTGGTTTGTTGTACCTTTTCTTTTTCTTTCTCTTTTTTTTGAGGCAAGGTCTCACTCTGTCACCCAAGGTGGAGTGCAGCAGTGCCATCAGAGTTCACTAGAGCCTTGTATTCCTGGGCTCAAGCTATCCTCCTGCCTTGGCCTCCCGAGTAGCTGGGATGCAGGCACATGCCACCGTGCCTGGCTAATTTTTTTAATTCTTGATATTCCTTTTATTTTCGATATGCCAGCTAGAGTCCTTTGTTGATTTATGTGTTGAAAACATCTTCTATTTTGAGGCTTGACTTTCTACTTTCTTAATACTGTATTTTTATCAACAGAAGATGTAATATAATTCAATTTATCAATACTTTACCTAATGATGAGTGGTTTCTGTATCCTTCATGAGAAGGCATTCCCTAGTTTACGTATATAAAGATATTTTTCTGGGTTATCTTTATAAATTTATTATTTTACCTTTCACATTTAGATTTCAATACCACTTTGAATTGATTTCTGTGTATGGTTGGATTTTCCTTTGTCTTTTGAAAAATATCAATTCTAGTCAATTATCCAGGACAAGAGATAGAAACATAGGAAATCACAGTAAAATGAGAAAAACAAGTGAATTGTAAAGCAATCTGAAAATATGTTTAATTCCTTGGATTGTTTTTTACAAAACATGTTGAAACCTGTCACTAAAGCATCAGCAGTTTTATTCTGAAAGGACAAAAAAGAGAAATAGAAATTTTTTTGAACAGCAAAAAATGCAAAACCTCTAAGTTATTTATTGCAGTAAAGGGGTAGGCAAATTCCTGTTCAGAATGAGTTCAGGAGCTTTAGCAAGAATTTTGGATTCAAAAAGAACTGGGTTCATAGCTCAGCTCTGCCACTTACCAAGTGGCACAGCTGAGTTATGTACCTCACAGAGTTCTCATCCGTATCATGAAAAGAATATGCATCTCACTGGATTAAAGTGAGAAGGCAGTTATACACATTTATGTTTTATCACTGTGTCTCCAGTACTTGCAGCAGTGTATGTCTCATAACAGGAACTTAATACTGCATTCCCCTCTGTCTTACACTATTATTATTTGTCCTTTGCTCTCTAATTAGAATCAGTGTAGAACCATCATTGAGGAGAAAAGGCAAGACATCATAAGGTAACCTGGGAACCAGGAAAACCAAAGACCATTTACTTTCACAATTTTGTCTAAGAAAATTGTATTAGTCAGCTTAATATTAATACCCCCAAAAGAAAGTAGAGCATCATCATTTTGAAATGCCCTTGAAGGGCCAAAAATAGAATAATTAGCATGGTTTTACAAACCCAAATAGTATTAGAAAGAACAGTTTAATATCCTTTCCTGATATATGACAAAGTAATGTTGATAAAGGGAAAACTGTATTACATTTAATCTCTTTATGCATCAAGAAAGCCTTTAATTTTATCCCACTGAACATTCCTGGGAATATACTAGATTCTTAGGTTCCTCAAAGTGTGGGGCTTGGCCTAGGACCAGTAGCATCAACATCACCTGGGAGCTTATTAGAAACACAGACTAAGACCTACTGAGTCAAAACCTGCATTTTACCAAAATCCTCAGGTTATGCACATTAATTTTGAAAAACACTGAACCAGACAATTAAAATATCTACTGATCTGATAACCCCCATTTTAAAAATAAAGTTAGGA